GGGAGGATGTGTGTGTGTGTGTGATGGGGGAGGGTGTGTGTGTGTTAGGGGGAGGATGTGTGTGTGTGTGTTAGGGGGAGGGGGTGTGTGTGTGTGTGTGTTAGGGGGAGGATGTGTTTGTGTGTGTTTCTCTTATCCCTGACTTACTAGGGTTGTTTCATTACAGCCTTTGAACATTTGGTAAACTATCTATAGTTAAGTTTTTTGTGTCTTTAAAACTTCACCTTTCCATGTAATATTTCATTGCCCATATAGCTGTCAAAGTTTGACCCTGTATTTACTGAGGGGGAGGAAGAACTGAGTCCTTGACATGGAGCATATATGAAAATCCCACTAACTTGCCCCTGGTGTGATTCTGTAGGCGTGCACGTGGCTGCCCATCTGGTGAATGCCCTCAACTTCTCAGTGAATTACAGTGAAGATTTTGTTGAACTGAACGCAGCAAGATACCGAAATGAGGTGGGTGGTCTCTGTCTTCCCATTTTCCTTTCACTTGTCATGAGATGACTAATGAGGGTCTGTGATTTTTCCCTGAATATTTGTACCTTACTGCTCCTTTTGAGTGCTTTTAAAATGCAGTTGTCAAATTGAGCTTTATTCCTTTTCAATAGAAAATATAAGTAATTACTATTTCATAGTCTCTCCTGCTGAAAGTGGGAGTTGGTAGAATGTCTACTTTTTTATTCTGCAATGTTCAAATGGTTGCCACTCAGGTCTGCCTCTGACTCCCAGCAGCTTTTGTCTAATTCCTATCATTCAGCTGAGAGTGTCGACAGTGCCGTTACAGGGTAAAAATACTTTATAACTCACATACTAGGTTTTGGGGAAAAGGAAATAAAAGTAGATTGATTATTTGTGAATCCTGGATAAATCAATTTATTTTACTTAAAAAAATGTTAGTGAGTTTTCATGATTCATTCATTTAAAAACATTCCTCGAATTAGGTGATGTTAAATTCAATTCTGTAGCAGGCAATATCTGACATAGTGCTATTCTCCATGGGAAGCCGTCCATACAATGAAATTATATGTGCAAGGTGCAGGCCAGAGCTTGATGAACAGCACATGCTCAGCCAGTTAGGTCTCTGTTGGTTGATGCTCTCATACAGTCCTCAGGCTGCCTTTGCTTCACAATGCCAAGACTACATCAAAAACAAACTGTTCTGTGCCATTTAATTAGCATCCCCCCACCCTAATTTTCCTGTTCTGCAGACTAAGTTTGGTAGTGACTTAATAAAATTTTTTCCCATCTTCCCCACTCCTTTGTCTCCTCCACATATCACCAGAGTTTTCTAGGTTTAATACTGTTGTGATCATGTGCTTGACTTCCCCCTCAAAACAAAACTAATGAAAAAGTAACAACAAATACAGAAACAAATCACAAAACCAAAATAGCCAGCAACCTTTGATATAGCCCTTGTCTCTACTCGTATTTAAAAAAAATACCAACATGATCTAATTGGTCTTGGTTGGGAGGCAGGCACTGATAATTTGTAAACGTTTCCCAGGCTTGTAGAGTGCATCCAGCACTGAGAACCACTGAAAAATTCCAGCTCCTTAGCAGGCCAGTGACGGCTCTTCACATGTAATTATTTCAGACCCAGCCTCCACTTCTCCCGATCTCACTCCCACCTGCTTCCCTTTCTCCTGCTGCCCTCTGCTCAAATCACTAGCTACTTGTTTTCTGCCCCTGTTACATTTTCTTTGTTTCTTTTTCTTCTTTTCTTCTCTTTTCAGAATTCATGTCTTTAATAACTTTAATGGTTTTCTCATTTTAATGGAATAAACTTTTGCTTAAGTTCCAATATTTTTAGTGATTTCAAGGTTTTCGGTTATTAAATTTGTTTTCTTTGAAAAGTTATACATGCTCAATATAAAATATTTTAAAACTCTCAAGTAAACGAAGTTAAAAGTGAAAGCTTCTCCTCCAAAACAAGCCACAGTGTATTACATTTTTTTCTGATATTTTCAGTGGCATTTTATGGTATATATTCCTTGGCAATTTACTTGTCTCCATAAATATACTTTTATAGCTTATTATATCAAAATATCTTGATCTATCTCATTCTCTCCATATGACTATGCCATAATTTATTTTTAGTCTTTTTCTTATTCAGACATTTAGGTTGATTCTCAGTTTTTGTTATGAACCACACTCCAATAAATGTATTTCTTTGTCCACTTCTACACAGATCTGTAGTTGTAGAATTTTGGTTTAAAAGGTTGCACATTTTTGTTTTGATGGACAGTGCCAAATTCCGTTTTAAAAAGTCTTCTCCTTTTTTCACACTTCTGACTAATATTAGAATGCCTATTTCTACAACTCATCTCTGTTGTTTTTTTCCAATCTGATGGATGAAAATGGCAACTCATTGTTTTAAGTTAGTATTTCCCCTGCCTTTATTTCTTCTTGTATTCCTTCTTTCATGTCTCTCTTTTTGTTTTTTTCCCTCTTTTTAATAAATATGTATTTAGCATCTAATAGGTACAAGGCAATGCATTAGATGTAGATGAAAATAAGTGTATATATATACACACACATATATTTAAATATATACATAAATATATGGCATATCTATTATATCTATTATATATTATATATTGCTGTATTGATAATTGATTATATATTTTATATATATATATATAAAATCAACACATATGTTATTTTGTGAACTGCTTTTGAAAGAGATGGTTTTGTGTCATATGCCCTATTGTTCTTGTTTTATGCTTTTACTCTGCATGGAAGGACTCACCCTCCAGCTTGTGACTGCTGCCCTTTCTTGATAGCCCAGCTAAATCTGCCTCACCTTGCCACTGTGAAAACATCTCTCACTCTCATGTTTCCTTTTCTTTCTCTAGCAATATTAATTGTTCCATCTTCTGGGTTTCCATAGGTATTTATTCACATTTCTATTCTTATGACTTTGTTCAGCCCATATTATATTTTTATGGGTTGTTTATACATTCAGTTTTCTTAGATCACCCTATAGCCATGTTTCTAATAGTTGGAATAGAAGTCAATTGAATTAAGCCAGGTGAGGAGCTATTCCTAGGCAAGTGGTCCTTATTCAAAGACCCCAAATGACACTATATAAATTGTTTCCTTCTTAGTACATAGTCTGGCCTGACCCCTGATTCAATGGAGGCACAAAGAAAGGAATTCAAAAGCTTGTGAAATATTAAGCACCATGGGGATAAAAAATAAATTCACAAATCTAGTAGGGATTGGTTTTCCAGAAGGTAGAAGGGTGTTGACTATAACCCATTAGAGCATAAGAGATGTAGTTTAAAGGAAATCATACAATATTATAACAATATTAATCTTACATATTTCCAAGTAGCAGATACTGATCGTTGTTTATCCTCACCACTTTTCACTATTTTTGAAACATAGAAAGCTCCCAATTAGTCTTCTTTGTATTGAGCTTACAATGTGCAAATCCCCTACATATTTTATTGGTTTTAATTCTATCTTCACATCTTGTGATGCAATTTCACAGTTTTGGTGAACAGAGTATATAATAATACCTTAACATCATGGCTAGGACATTGAGTTCAAAATGGTTAAAGGTAGGCTTAAAACCAGTGCCTCTAGCTTGTAGGTAACCATTAATAATAATTTTTAGGCCTTTTGAGTCATCCAGTATTTTGCCTCAGATGGATAGATTTCTGTGAATTGGGTTTTTGCTTGTTGTAATCTCCTCTAGCATTGTGAAAATGTTATGAAACTTAATCGAGTCTTTCTCACTTCCATTGGATAAACAGTATTTTACATGACAAATATATGGCTTGTAGATACTGCATACTCTTTATAGAATTATATGTCATCAGTGCTTTAGTTTTTAATCACTTATTTTTTTTTTCTTTTTCTCAGGATCCTAGAAAACTTCTCTTCACGACTGGTAAGTTGTTATTCTTAGCCTTTTCTTTAGATTCAGGAACATCTTTAAAAGTAGACATTATCGGGCTGGGCACGTTGGCTCATGCCTGTAATCCCGGCACTTTGGGAGGCCAAGGCGGGCAGATCACCTGAGGTCAGGAGCTCTAAATCAGCCTAATCAACATGATGAAACCCCATCTCTACTAAAAATACAAAAAATTAGCCGGGTGTGGTGGGTGGCAGGTGCCTGTAATCCCAGCTACTTAGGAGGCTGAGGCAGGAGAATCACTTGAACCCAGGAGGCAGAAATTGCAGTTAGCTGAGATCGCGCCACTGCACTCCAGCCTGGGCATGACAGAACGAGACTCCAAAAAAAAAAAAAAAAAAAAAAAA